TTTGGAGAAAAATAAGAGCTACTGTTTCGCCGCAACGATTCAATTGTTGTAAGTAAAAAAGATGAACGTTCATTTTGATAAATTTAAGTGTTAAAAATATACATTATTCAAAATCAGAGCTGTTATTGGTACCGCGGAAGTAAGAGTTTTCAAGTGCCAAACTGAATACAAGAAAGTGTGAAATTTACAAGAAAAGTGCTCGCTCGTCCGCGGTGCCTATAACATCTCTGTTGAAAATTGAACTATTTAACTATACTTTTTTCAACCAAGTACTCAACATTAAGTATCGTACTTAAATTTGATTTAAAACAAAATCGATTCTAGCAGTAATTGTTTAACGACGGTTTTCTTTTTTAATGTCCGAAAACCGATTTTCATGTAAAACAGATGATACCACTTGGAATAGAAAAAAAATTTGAATGTGGCTTGTGTTTGGCCCACTTTCGAAAATTATTCAGTGAACAATTGAAAAGAACAATAGCGGATAAATGGTTCTGAGAAATGAACATGCAATCAATGTTGACGCTTTAATTTAATGCTCCCGCATTCCACAATTCAAATTTTGTGATCCATTGACAATGTGTATTATTTCTTAATGTGTTCGACATGGAACAAAAAATGACCGCTGCTCTGATCATGGATTATCAGTTCTGGCCACTTCTCTAAAATCGTCAAAATAAATCACACTCAAAGTATTTTATGACCTTGCCAATCACAAAACAACGCTGTGTAAAACTTACAAACAAGATAAACATCGTTTAGTTTTACAAGTAAATTGAACACGTGCAAGTTGCGTAGTTATCATATCTTTGCCATATTTTCGTATTCATTTTCTAGAAATCAATTTAGTGATTGTTCCAAGTATTGCCATTGAAATCCTTCTGTCAACGAATTTGATTGACGTTCGCCATAATTTAATGAAGATTTATATATCATTGACACCTCAATATTCTGGCTGATATCAAAGTGACTCGACAAAAGAGCTGGAATGTGTAAAAATAGAGCAAAATTGAACGTGCCGATTCAAATACTCACTCCTGTTATTGTTATTAACACGTGAAGTTCTATGATCCTCCATAAAAAATGATTGCTTTGAAAGACACGCAAAAGATTCTCTTGATCATGTTGTCAATTCATGACAATAATAATGCGCATCATTACGTGATGAATATTTGGTTGATGGAACAATGATGTCATCATATCATATTACAAAAAAAAATTCCCCGTACAATTTATCTGCCTGAGAAATGAACAACAATTTAAGTGCAAAGAGTTTCTTACTAATTGTACCACTGGACGAATTTATATAAATTGACGTGATAAAAATGTTGCTATAAAAGACGTGAGCGGAACTTTTCTTATCTCAAAATCTCTCGATAAAACTCGTTAAAACGATTTCTGTGGAAATGATTAAGATTACTCTGTAAGTTATTTGTCAATGGCGCACATGTTGTTTATTTATAAATTCCAAAGAGAAGCCAACGCCACTGCTTCATCACATCTAAAACAAGTGCATGTGTCCTTGTTTATTATCAAATCTAAGCTGCATCGATCACGTAGCGTTAAAAACATCAATAAATCTGCTGGCCCAGTTACGTGTCGAATTTATCCAACTCATTTACCTCTTACTCAGTTTATTCATCGCTCATTTAATCGGAAGATTTGTATGAATTTTGAAATCGTTCGGCCCATACACAATTTGCCCAAATGCAGTGTTATGATTGTTATTGGCACGCGCACAAAACGGGCAAATTGTCAATTCGTTTTTTGTTTTTTGCAAACACTTTATATCGGTGTCATAGACACACGCACACACACGACCGGCATTTAGTATTCGTCATACGCTGCATTTTTTATACGGACAGAGAGCAACCAAAAGATCACGAATCACATGCAAATTAAGTTCCAAATCGAAACACGTTTAAAATGTTTTTGCTTTGACACCAAGTTGGTGTCACCAACCATTAATACCCATAATTTCAAATGATAATATAATTTATTATTGACAAATATAGTTTTTTTTTCCAAGCCGGTTTGGATTGGTGCTCTACGATAAAAAGTTACCTTTCCACGTGCTTGTATTGTGACTTCTTAAAGTCATTGATACCGATTGTTATCAAAGCAAAAAAAAAGTAATTCTAATAATTCAAATGAAGTCACGTGACTGTGAATTGCGCATATAAAACATAATTTAAGTGGGGTTATTCTTTTCTCAAAGAATATAAATTCCAAGTATTGTTTTTTTTTCGTACGAATTAAAAGCGTTTAAAACACCGCTATTTTACGTTTATCAGCTATCTAAAAAAATTAATATACAAGCCAAGTTTGTGTACAAATCATTGAATTTTCCAAGAAATTGGTTCTTATCAATGAAAGACAATTACGCATTAAATGAGAACACAAAAGTCGTTTATCACATGAACATGTTACTGAAGAATAAACAACTTCCATGAGATTTATTTAAATAACAATTCAATTGGTTACACAGGAGCGGCAGCACAACAATTATTATTGTATAATCATCGTTCAAACAATGAACGTTTGTCAAAATGTGGAAAATGCTGCTTTGACTCTGTGGACTCTCTGATAAATCAACGACAGAGTTGAAAAAGACAACACCAAACAATATATCACAGTGTGCACATAGATCGTACAGAAACACTCATATAAAGTGCGCTGCGATAGCATCGGGTGTGAATTAACAACAACAATGAGAGATGAAGCGAGTAATTTGTTGTTTTTTTTTGTTATGTATGAAACCAAATTGAAACGAAGTCTCTCCACCTACGCCTCTCATCTCTCTCGTTCTCGCATCGATTTTTTTTTCAATTGCCGTTTTTTTATCTTCGAAACTTTCAATGGATTGAATGAATTTGTGTGTGTATTATATGCAAGCCGAGCTTCCTATCGAGATTCCACCAAGCGTGTCAGTTTTTGGTATCCCTTGTACATCTCTACGAATACGGAACAAAAGCTTTGTTAAATCAGAAAGAGACGAAAAACACAGATTTCAAATAGAAATGTTTATTTTTTTTTCACATGCACACATATACATTCAATCGATCTCATTAGCATCATCACTGTAATCGCAAGACATCAACGCGCACTGATCGCTGATCACAATACAAACACAAGCTATGAGAGCTATGTAATTGACTTTTTGTCTCTGTCTCACCGTATTGGACACCGTTATCTTCAACCGTTTAGCTTTTTTCTCCTCTCTACAATCGCATCAATCTCGCGAGCGCGGGAATGGTATTCTTGGTTGCCGTTTGATTACTTGTGAATTTTCGCTTAATTTAACTGTAATTTAAGTCAGTTGATTTTAAACTGTGGTACAGTTTAGAGCGGATTTTGCGTATTCGCGTTTCAAACGAACACCACTCATTTTTTTAAAAAATCAATCAATAGTTTTTTTTTATAAAAAGTGAATAAAATGTGAAATCAATAGTGTGTACTTGGTAAATTTGTTAATCAATTTTGTGTAAGATAAACACCAAATCCAAATCTTGAGTTTGAACGTAGAATTTTTTTTTGTTATCTACATTTCGATGGTTCTACATCGATGCGATCATACAATTTTTGATAAGATTTTTTCATCATTTAATCAAGTTATCATATCATATTTTTTCTTGCCAAAAAAGAGAAAATCAGTATTTGCATATTCAGAAGCAACGCAAATGATGAACGAAAGAAAAAAAAAATCTGCGTCGAAGATGATGTTTTTTTATTCTCTTCACTTGATTATTAGTCTTGTTTCGAATCCGAGAGTTTGTTGAAGCAATTTTGCAATAAAGCCACTGACGTTGCCATTTCAATTGAATTCATTTCTGAAAATTGTGAATTATGGCTCTTATAAATGAACATTCCAAGACATTGTCGCTTTGTACTGCATACTCACCAGAATTCACTCAAAACATTCTAATTTATATATACACCGAGATTTCTTTTCGCCACTCTTTTTCTCCCTCTCTCTCTCCGCTCATCGAATTCAGTGCACAGTCAAAAGCCTGAAGTTAACTTCATTTCACATCGATATCGAACTGCAAATTGAACCGATACCATTTTTCTTAGAATCTCATGATTTTCTTAAGTCTTGAAAATTGTAAATGTTTTAAAATTAAATATAATATCAGATACTCAGAAAGATGCATTCAATGGTTTTGGATCTCATCTCTTTAACGTATATGCATTTAAATAAAGACATCTTCTTGTATCCAAATAGGTTGCAATATTCAATAAAATTTAAATAATCATTCAAAACAGGTACTTAGTCATGACTGCGAAAATATCTGAAATGAAATATCAAATCAATAATTGACTGACTCAAATTTGATTTGAGATCTTTTTTTCAAAGAATGCAATTGGAGATAAATCTCTGACGCAAAATGTACCGTTAATTGCCACCCTTTATTCGAGACGGTCTGACCTGCACAACGAACATCCGTCGATTGTCCGAAAAATTTGCAATCATATCGATCCGATATAAGTGAATGAACTTTCAAAATTGAAATGAATGATTAAATGTCCACGGCACACCCACCCACCATTGAAAATTTGCCAAAACTTTAGAATAAGCCATAACAAAAAAAAAATTACGTGTATTTAAAACGTCGAATCACCGTATTTGATTGTACAAAATTATTCGTATTGTTCAGCTTGAGATTTGGATTGAATGAAGACGTAAAATTGCGAAAAAAAGGGAATGCAAATCATGAAATTTGTTAAAAACGAGTTTTGGATGGGAATTTCTTTTTTTTTATAATAAAAGTAAATTTGACATCTCTAATTATTTATAATCGGTTTGGACGCAGTGACCTCTCCAAAACAGTGAATGATAAATATGATGAAACACCGAAAAATGTCGCGTCGCAATGTGAACTTGAAAATGAAAAAATGAAATCATAAATATTGAACAGCAAAAATTAAAAGCAAAACAAACTGTAACACACAAAAAGAGAAGCAATGTGCAGCCAACAAAAAAACTATTTGCAATTGTTATTGTGACGTAGCAAAATAAATACAACCGGAATTTGTGTGAAACATATCAACAAAGTGTAGTTAAAGTAAACTATCAAATAAAAGTAGAAATATCAAATAAATAACACAATGGAAAATTTGGGGTATCGAGAAGGTTCGTCAAAGTTGTCGAAACATCGTAGAATCTCTCGAGCGGCAAGTCTGGCGGTTGATGCTGAGGGAATTCCATTATCAAGGTAAGAGAATGATCGATCGTAAAGTCAAAACTTCGTATATCAGTGTCTACTGATTTTTGTTCGGTTTTTCATTGTGTCCCGTGATTTGTGATTTCTGATTTGTGCGGTGATGGTGGCTACGTTTCGATTGCATTTCGTCGGTCGCTCAGTCGTGCTCCATCATTAAAAGCAATCAGTTGTCATTTGTTTTCGGTTTAATTTTTGGTTTCAGACAATTTTTTACTTAGAACTGATTATCTGGTTCATGGAATTGAACAAATACAATATATATATTTTTTTTTGATTTTCTACGATGACACACGATTTAATTCACAGCGAAAAAAATTGTTCAATATGTTAATTCGCTTTAATTTGTATCACAGATTTTGACGCTGATAATTAAATAAAAAAAACGTCCAATCACATGTTAATCAATTATAGTGCTCTTCATTTTTTACTTTAAATTTGCACATCGCACACGATTCAATTAAAAAAAAATATACGACAAATTAAAAATGCTAAAAACCGTAACAGATTTGATGGTAAATCACAAAAAAAAACTTAGCGTTAATTGAGAATAAACAAAATGTGTGTCAACAAAATAAACGAAACCAAAAAAACAAAATGACAATTGTTTATTTAATATTGTATTTTTGTCCACAGATTCAAGCCGACGCAGTCGAATATGGTTCGTTGGCGAACGAACAACGCTGATGCTATGCTCGAAGAACAATATCCATCTGCGGGAAATTTCGAATATATGGAGTGTGGACCATCGCCACCGGCTGAAAGTGCACCCAGTATGTATGACAGTTTTGAAGAGCCCAGCTCCGAGTTGAGCGTCCAAATATGCAGTGATACGATTCGCGCAAATTTGATCGAACAAATGAAAATGGTTGGTGGTCGAACAAAAATTCTTGAAGATATTGAAACGCTCGATCCGCATAATACCGAAAAATGGAAAATCATGGCAAATAGTATTCAATTGTATATGGAAGGTGCGACCAAAGGTGAAAAAAATATTGCATTTTTATGGTCAACATTTTTGAAACGGGCCGATCTACTAGACGGTTTATTACGTGCTGGTGCCGATTTACATTTTTGCGATCCAAATGGGATAACCGGCTTGCATTTGGCAGCGTTCAGTGGTTGTGTTGAATCCGTAAAATTTTTAATTGAACGTGGTGTTGATGTCAATTTAATACCAAAATGCTATTCACCATTGCATTGTGCTGCATTCGGTAATTCGGTTGCAACGGCTGAGTTGCTCATTCGAAACGGTGCTTCAATTTCAACCAACACAAATAAAGCCAATTGTGAAGAATCATTGTTACAGTGTGCGGTACGTGCAAATGCAATTGAATGTGTACAACTATTAATAGAGAATGGTGCTGATGTGAATTCGCTTAAAGCCAACGGAACAAATGCAATTCATTTGGCAGCCGATTTGGGTTTACATGAATGTTTACGCATATTACTTGAATGTGACGGAGCTGATCCGAACATAAGAATTTGTATTCGTGAAAAAGAATCAACGGCTCTTCATTTGGCCTCGGACGAAGGAAATGTGAATTGTGTAAAATTATTGTTGGCCAAAGGTGCTGATGCATCGTTAAAAAATCATCGTGGTTTCACCGCTCTGCATTTAGCATGTCGAACATCAAGTTTAGAATGTGTTAAAGAATTATTGGAAAATGGTAATGCTGATCCAAATGCCGAAGATTTCGATCAACGAATTCCACTTCATGCGGCCGTCAGCAAATGTGAATCGGCATTTAATATTTTGGAAATGCTCATTGCAAAGGGTGCAAATGTAAATCACAAAGATGTATACGGTTTTACCGCGCTGCATTTGGCCGCACTCGACGGTTTGGCACAGTGTGTGGAAATGCTAATTTTTTACGGTGCCGATGTAACGACCAAATCGAAAAAAGGTACTACCGCATTGAATGTTATCACTAGAAAAACACCGACCAGCCTGTCAATGATTACACAAAAATTGGACGCTGCAATTACATTACATCAATCGCAAGAGAATGCAACGCGTGAAGTCGAACTTGAATTGGACTTTCGGCAATTATTGCAACATTGTCATCCAAGAGAAATTAGCTATTTAAATACATTTGTCGATGAAGGTCAAAAGGAATTTCTGGAACATCCATTGTGTTCAGCATTTTTATACATCAAATGGGGAAAAATTCGTAAATACTACATCGGTCGCTTGGTATTTTGTTTCATCACCGTTCTTTTTCTGACGTTATACGTGTTGACCGCACTCGCGCACACCTGTTACAATGGCAGCAAAATCATGAATGAAACCATCAAAGATCAAGAGCTCTGTCAAAAACAATCAATTCTAGGCGATTTACTTCGTGCAAATCCATTTGTAATTGAAATGCAATGGTGGGTGCTGGTCGTCATTATCATTTTTGAAATATTTCGAAAATTGTACGGCCTGACGGGATATACGTCGGTGCGACGATATGTTTCACAAGTCGAAAATATTATCGAATGGTTCGTCATAGTGAGCGTATTTTTAACATCGTACATTTACAATAATCGCACAGACATTTGGCAAAATCACATAGGTAATGTAAAAGATGGTTCAAAATGAAACATTGAAAGAAAACAAGAAGATTTTGTTCGACGTAATATCTGTTATCTAATTTTAAATTTATAACATTTGTGTTTATCTTTCAGCTGCTTTTGCGGTGCTTTTAGGTTGGACAAATTTGATGTTGATGATTGGTCAGCTGCCGATATTTGGTGTATACGTTGCCATGTATACGAAAGTGCAGGGTGAATTTGCGAAATTATTCATGGCATATTCTTGTATGCTGGTTGGTTTTACCATAAGTTTTTGTGTGATATTCCCAGATTCGCCGGTGTTTGCGAATCCATTAATGGGATTTATTACGGTGCTTGTGATGATGATTGGTGAACAAGATTTAACCCTATTAACAAATGATCCAGATGGAAAAGATCCACCGGTTTTGCTGGAAATTAGTGCACAAATTACATTCGTGCTATTTTTACTATTTGTAACCGTGGTTTTAATGAATTTATTGGTCGGAATTGCTGTGCACGACATTCAAGCGTTGAAGAAAACGGCTGAACTTTCAAAATTGGTGCGACAAACCAAATTAATATCATACATTGAATCGGCATTATTTAACCGCTATCTACCGACCTGGCTACGGAAATTACTTCATTACACCGCTTTAGTATCACCGCAAGCATACCGTGTGGTACTTTGCGTAAAACCATTGAATCCGGGCGAAAAACGTTTGCCCAAAGACATATTGATGTCGGCCTATGAAGTTGGAAAACAACGGAAATTTTTCGATACAGCATGTATATCAAATCCAAATACCTATTCACCGAACTATACACAAAAATACAAAATGATGAGTGACAGTACAAATGTCTATGATCGAATCAATGAATCTGATTACGGATTTGATACGGAGAGCGTGAGTACATTGTCCAATAAAATCGATGATAATGCAGAAAAAATTGACGCACTTACCAAAGAAATATCCGAATTAAAAGTGGTTTTACATCAAAATCATCAGGTCATCGATCAACTGCTCACTGTCATTACAAACCAACATAAAAATAGCTTGAATCGAAGTCTATCGCATAATTCAACGCAAAATTCAAACGCAAATAACATAAACCAGACAAATAATAATAATAACATTAATAATAGTCAACCATTGAATCATACGCATCAAAATAACACACCAAATCGCCTTAATGCCAGTAATGATAATAGTGAACAAGTTAGAAACAATCTAAACAAAAATAATGGCAATCAAACAAAGAAAGAGTGATTCGGGCTCGATAAGGCTTCTTATTTTTGCTTCTTCATCTGTTTCTTTCCATTGGAAAAGTACGTATCACGTGTTTTCTGTGGACAAATCCTTAGTTTATTTATTTATAAAAAAAACAGTTTATAAAAAAACAGAAATGGTTTAATGCCGTGAATGGAAAAGAGTGATTAATATATAGTTTCGAGCAGAGAAGTTGCAACGGGAACTTTTGAGAAGGAACAATGCAATGCCATGGTGATTGCCCAACAATAACAACAACAAAAAAACACATAAATCATTTGAATAACGAAAAAAAAAACATAATGATAAAAATCAAAATTGTTATCGAGCCAAAACATTATTCGAGATGAAAAACGAAATTCGAATAGGTTCACTTTTATTATTTGTTTGAAAATGTGCTTTAGATGTATTACAACATAAACATTTTATACCGCGTGTAATTATGTGACCTAGTGATAGAACGACACTCGATAAATGAATCCCATTGGTTGTAGAACTGTGCCTATAAATGTTTTCTAGCAAATAACAACTCCATGAAAATATATTAAAAGAGAAATTGTGATATTTTTTTTTCAAGCTTAAACATTGTGTCAAAATAATTTATACTTTGGCTGCTGCAGTAGCATTTTCGGCTATTCCTAGACAGTTGAACAAATAGAAAAAAAAATTAAAACTGCAATTAAGTATACGATTAAGTCATTTTATCAAACTGTGAATAAATAATATTTGAATAAGAGGAAATGAGATCTTGTTTTATACTTTTTATAATAAAGCTGCCTATCACATTGAAGTGGAATGATTTGTTGAATGAAAGGTAAAGACTCATTCATCTTCCATAAAATTTTGCAAAAGTGTCTAATCGACATGCTCTTTTCTTAATAGAAATATTCGGAGCAAAGTTTTTCATTTTGATTTCTGTTTCAATTTGTTTGACCTTTTCATTAAGCTTGCAGTTTGCACAGCTGCTGAATAAATGAGTTTTAATCACTTTTGTTCGTTTCATTTAATTCAATTCGCCGAGTAAAAAGCAAATGACATAATCCTGTACAGTTTCCGACTTATCGTTGTTGTTTTTTCGATCGTCGAATCTCTCAATCCATGTAAAAAAAATCCGCTTTAAATTAAATAAATCAAATGGTGGTGCGCGTTGATCAACCAAATTCACAGATTGTGTGCGTCAAGTTTATTGTGTTTTTTTCTTTCTTTCTTTTAACAATTGCATTGATAGATTATGGGATAGCGTTCCCATGCACACAACGGGCCATTTGTGCTATTGTTTTGACTATGAATCACTTCTATACAGAGATGCTTATTTGACCAGAACGGTGTGATAAATTACGTATCAAACAGATGTCATTCACGTGCCTCGCCATTGCCTCGCCATTGCACTCCAGCCCGATTTTTATCAATTAGAAAAAAATCATTTGATGAAATAATCAAATGCGATTTATTCACAACTCCGTTCGTTGTTAATGCAAATTGTAGTTTGCATTTCCCATGTAAATTAGTCGTTTTCTCATTTTTATTTTTATTGCAGGCAGCAATGCATTTTTTTCTTCTATTCTTTGACTTTAGTGCACTTTTATGGAGTTTTTGAAGCTCTTCCCTTCTTCGTATCGTTTTTGTTTTCTTTCTCAACTTTATATTCAACATTTATAACGCACATTATCAATTTAAGTAAATCGCGAAAAAATTATATGTGCATAGGAAATGGTTTTACGGCTTAAATTCTACATGAAAAAAGATGAGATAACAACGAAAAGTTTGTAATCGTCAAATTGAACTAAGTTTACACTAATTTATTGGAAATATCAGTAAAGATAAAAAATGTGATGAGAGACAATTTGTTGAGTGAATTCGCTGTTAATACGATATTAAAATAATATTTAACATCACGCATTAAAACAAAATTAAGATCAACTCAACATATCACAATCATGTGATAAAATGGCATCAACTTATTTATGAACATTTTAAAAAAGTGTTCAATACATTACAAACGATCTCTGCCGGTCTATATCAATTTATTATACATATGTATTCATCGTTAATTCAATAATTGAGACCAATTTTCAGCAATTGTTCCAAAGATTCGTTTGAATTTATACCAACACTTCAGCGAATTCGGTTGGTTACATCTATGTAAAATCGATTTCAGTGAGTCGCATAAAAAACGTTCTCCATATTTTTTTTCACAATTTTGATTTTTTTTTTTTTTTTGTTTAATTTATTTATTTCTGTATTTAGGTTCTGTTCCCGCTGCATTTTACTGATATGGTTGACAAAGTTGACATAGTTGCAAATGTAGTTGATGGTGGTTTTATGGGACAGGCAGGTGCCATTCGATATGGTGTTGCGTTGGGTCTACGAAGCTTTGTCGATGAAGCAACCATGAACGAAATGCATGCCGGTAAGTGTGAAATACAACATTTCATGCTTTTTTAATATTTTAAATCATTGACTATGAACGGTTTTCTTTCTCAATCTGTAGCCGGATTACTAACGTTTGATAGAAGAGCCAGAGAACGGAAGAAGCCTGGTCAAGAAGGTGCTCGACGCAAATTTACATGGAAGAAACGTTAATCTTATTACTATGTATTTTAGAATTGAAATATACTGCATTCATTGTACGAACATTTCTTCACTTTTGACAAAAATGTCTTTGTAGATTTAACTAACCGATATGTATAAAAAAATTAAATAAAAAGATTAAATTGAATTCAATTCAAAAGCATTTTTAAGTTAATTTGCAAATTACATTTCATTTAAATTATTGTTTGATTTATCTGGCGATCTGAATTGATTTCACTTGCGTACTTGCTATTTTTTGACTGAATAAAGCTTTGTAATTAAAAGTTGAAACAGACCGGATAGAATTTCAAAAATCTAAAATAAAATATTTTTTGATACAGGTTAGTATGATTCGGATTTGTTCAATAAAATAATTGAAATTTGGATTTTCGTATTACAAACTATGAATAATTTGATAAGCGAAGCAGCTCAACGGTGACATTTAAGCCTATATGAAAATTGAAATTCACTCTGTGTGTACTTTATACCGAGTCTCCGAGAGCTCACGAATATTCCAACCGATTCATATGTAGTAAAATTAACTCATTTTATCCAAATTCCTTGCAGCCGCATTAAGAAATGCTGTTCCTAGGTCTTTATGAAGAACTATGTAAACGACTTAAGAATTTTCTAGAGCACCATGTGACCAACTTGTTCAATGTGTGTATTAAAATTCTGCCATCATATCACCTGCTTATCCTCTATCAATTTAATAATGTAATAATATCTTCTAGGCTGGCTGTCTTTGGCACTTTCCATAGCATTCTCTAGTAACTCTGCGCGTTTGTATCCTCGTGGCCGTTTAAATGTTCCTTCACCAAAATCGCTTTGTTCATCATCGTCGGGGCGCACGACTGACTTTTTCGCCGACGAAATTGATGCAATTTTCTTTCGCTTTGATAGTGAAAGCTGGTGGTGGCATATGGTTTAAAGTTACCTTTCGACCGTGTTATTCGGCTGAGTGTACATATTGATTCCACCTTTAGTATTGATTCCGTTGAATCAAAATCTAGTTGTCCACATCGCGGTACGTCCAAAAATTTTCTTTGCACAGTTGGAGTACACATAACTTTCTCTCTACTAATAGAAATCGTTTTTTATACCTAAAAAAACACAACGAAATATCGTTTTTAATAAAAAATAAAGAAAAATCTCTTCGATTCCGTTATTCTCGATCGTATTGATATTACAGTATTTCGTTGTTTGGCGTTCAGCTTACAATGTTCTGCAATGTTCGAAGAAGAAATGAAGATGTATAAAATACCTTTGATTTCAAATTAGTAGAAAATGTAGAAATACTTGGTGAAATATTAGATCGTCCGAGGGGGAAACCACAGATTCTAATATGTGCTAATTTTTTCTAATATTTCTAGTAAAACGCCATATGACATGTACATTTGACATCTTTCTAATATGTTCTAGTTTTTCTAGTATCGAGTTCGTGGGTAACCCCAAGAGATCGTCGGTTAGCAGTTTAATAGAAATAAGCGCGTCGAAAATTAATTTCATACGATTGGGTTTCATAAGATCATTTTTACAAAAGAATTCAAAAAAACTGATTCCCCTACCGGGAATCGAACCCGGGCCTTCTCGGTGAAAGCGAGATATCCTAGCCACTAGACCATAGAGGAGTTGTGTTTGAACATGATCAAGCCAAACGATCGTGCACCAACTCTTTGAGTTTTTTAAAAAACAAATTTGGTAGTATACTATTGAAGTGGACTTTTATGTTATATTGCGTCAAATATATTTTCTTCTTCATGATTGAAATATTATAACACATATGGCGCCAATGACGACAAATTATTTTATTGATTTGAGGACATTTGGATTCACAGAAAAACATGTTACTCATAAATAATACAATACCTACTGACTTATATTTCCAACAAATACAATAAAGTTTCAAGATATTCGAATAAAATACCTTTGACTTACATATCCACGATAATATTACCACGGGCACATTTCCAAATGTGTTCCCCACATTTTTTTCTTCGTTCAGTTAAGTTTGACGAACAAATGGAGGCGGTTAGCATTTTTTCCTTCTTCTTCTTTTCAAGAAATTAATGGCTGTTTCAAAAGTTCTTTCGATCATCGAACTTTATTTTTGAAAATGCATCTGAAAAAAAAAAAACAGTCAGCTACCATTTTACTCATTAAAAGATGATCTTAAATTCAAGGTAAGTGCTTTTGAGAAATAAAAACCGAACATCTATGCTCATACTAAATTAAATATTTATACATGTATTTATTATTAGTGAAATATGTTACAATCTTATAAAAGAGAAGTTATCTAATTGTAATTGTTTTGCTTAAAATATTGCAAAAATGCGCTACATTTATGTATATACGTAAGACCAAAGCTTTTTAAACAAAAAAAGTGGAAGCCAGAATTCTTTCCTTTAAAATTTGGCATCCGTTTTAATGACATTTTTTATTCATTCAATTTTACGACAATTTTTCGAACTTATAAGAGTATATATGTCAAAAAAATAATTAAGTTAACTTGATTTCGAGCAATAATGTTAAAATTCATTCATTACATATCTATAGTGCACTAAAACGCCAAATTCATGTTTTTGCATCTTCTTCATTAGTTATGGCAATATTTTCTGGGTGTAAAAATAATAAGAATCGAAACATATTAGCTCCGTTCTTGGACTAGATACATCATCTTTTCGACAACTATGCTACAATTTTGAAATTTTCCAATTTTATAATTATTGATTATAGTCTGCAGTGACACTTGATGTGCTACTTAATTGGTTACATGTTTTTTTTACTTACTCTTTGTCAATGTTTTTCTCAGTTGAAAATATTTATGTAGTATTTTGGTTTGTGTTTGGCTATCTATTCAAAGTACTAGTTTCTACGAGTAAATATAGATATTGTTGATGAAAAGATGTTGAATTTGTTATGTTTCCCCCTCATTTTTGTTTGCGTGTTGAGGAAAAGTCGGTTCAGGTTTTCCAACTGAATAAAATAACTCGTTCGTATACATTAAAATAAGAAAGCAGTCTGAATGAAGTGATGTAAAACGGGATGATGAATAGTGGTATATTATAGATGAATTGAAAGTTTTTTTTTACTTTTGGTTTAATTGATGTTATAAAAAAATGTTTATGCCTATCAAATATCACATGCTTTTAAAGATTACTTGTTTTTTATAATTTTTTTTTGTTTTACTTTTAGCATTTTGAGGATAACGCAATGTTTGTTCTATTCATTTTTTGTTCATACGCTGTATTTGAAAGCTAAAGCTGTTTGAAATGGTGATGGAAATGATTAAATGGAAAGCAAAACACATCGACGAGTATTCGGTATTTAGTTACTATCTTTGGACGCTTTTATTTTTATTTCGCCAGTTGAAAACAATATCGGTCTAGTATTTGTTTGTTTGTTTTTTTTTAATCATGATTTCTATTCCATTAAATATATATTCATATATATGTATTGGTTAAAAGGTACTGAGTTTGTTTTGTTGTGGTTTTTCAATCGATTTATAGCTGTTTTAAATAAATAAAATTAAAATAATAAAAAAAACTTCTTCTACAAATACGTGCAAAAAAAAAATGAATGGCAAACCAATATTTATCAGATAAATTAAATAGTTATCAAGCGAAAAAAATAAACAAAAACAATCTTTTTTTTATATCTTCATGATTCTTTGATATAAATTATAAAATTACATTATTTGGTGATGTGGTTGTGAATTCTTCATTATATTTTTTTCTTTGTTGAACATTTTCGTCGGTCGGAAAGAAAACACTTGGAAATAAATACAAAAATGTTAAAATGTTCGTCAAATAATGTTCTTAATGAAACTGACTACCTTTCCGCAATTTGAATCCAAAAACAAAAACGACATTTAAAAAAAAAAGAATAGAATTCCAGAACTGAAAACACGCGGAAAATGGCAACGATTTGTTAAATATATCTTTCTAACTAAATATAGTCTTTACCGCATTACTTTGTTATGTTTTGTTTTTGTTCATGTTTAGTTTCGATTAATATGGGTGAAAAAATAGCCAATTTGCAATATATCTTTGACTTTTTCACATAGTCACACATTGAATGTCCTGATTCCAGTTTGCAATTGCATGGCACTAATCATACTATATGTTTCATTTGATTTCTTGTTCTCAAAGTGATGTTTGTGCGTGATGAAAATCGCATCATTTCTTTTATACTCTGAAACATCTATGTCATTCTTCATTTTCAATTGAATCCACAAAATTTTTTGTTTGTTCTCAATCACATTCGCGTATTGAGCCGACCATATACATACACGCACACACACTTCAGCAACATCAAAATTCGTCTTCACGGTGGTGCTGGTGACTGGGGCGATACTACAATTCATTTATATCACCGGCTACTTGGTCATCCATATGTGATTCCAATATATCAATATTCGATTCGTAGTCTTCTTCATCATCATAAGAACTGAAATGACAACAACAACAATAATTCATTTAAATTAGTGACATTCGGTCAATGGAATTCTTATTAAATAACCATATTCAACACTAGCAGCTCAAAGCAATTTAAATCAAATTATATACAATTTTCAATAAGTGGTTTTTGTTTTAATTTTGGCAAAGCATTAGCTCTCGCCTCAACCGTACTGCCATGTTACAAATAGTCAGTACGAATTTATTCAACACACACAACCCAGTGAATTCAGGACACACAATCAAACATTTAAATTGTTCAATAAAAAAACATCTAACAGAAAATGAATCAACATTTATAGGCATAATGAAGTAACACCATTTTCGGTGTTCGCTACATCTACCATGAAATACAAACAACGAAAAAAAAAGAAATATAACAAAAAAAAAAACACACACACGCACTCGTAAACATTGAGCTCACCTTCTAATAAATATACACTTTTTACATTCATCTTCATCGATTTTAAGTTAACAAAATTATAAATAAAAATGTGAAGCATTTTCGACCATTTTTCAGATTTTTATAGATATATAGATATTTTTTATATGGTGACAAATAAATTATCTATGGCTTTGGATGTGGAAAAAAAAGGAAAAAAAAGAAGAATAAAAAGAAAATGATAAAAATTAGATAAAAGTTTTTCAATTCCATCAGAGATGCGCAATCGTATGCTGTATGACACGTGACATGATACATGAAAGGCTTGCAAAAATGAAGGTAATAGAAAAAGGATGGATTATGATGAAAAAAACGTTATATGTATATGATGCAATTGGATGTGTAATATGACAGAATCTAATTTTGAGATAAAAAACAATTAAGATTTACCCATGAGTATCACCGCCTTCTTCGGCAACAAGCAGTTCATATTCTTGAGCCGCGTACCGGTCCCAATCAGACATCTGAAAAAAAAAGTCAAACAAATTGGATACGATTAACAGACAAACACTTTTTTATGACATAATTCATTTCTCTTTTCTCTGGGCGATGTGGGAATACGTACATCATCTTCACGCTGTGATGCAAATGGATCACGTTGTTCATTCTCCATGTATTTCTCCAAATTGAAGAATGTGTCAAAGAAAACGGGCGTCATTTTGCATCGCTTCAAATCGCCCAATTTAATACACCCGGGAACACTTGGCTTAATCATATCGAGCATTTGACACAAACAATCTTCGAACGGAAGAGTTTCAATTCCAATTGATTCCATGCGATGCTGTTGTTCTTCGTAGAAATATTCCAATTCATACATTGACAACACACCGTCACCGTCCAGATCCATGCATCTGCAAGAGATTTTGATGTAAAATTTCGCAAAAAAAAATGACAACAAAAAATATTTGCTATTTCCAGACATACCTAAACCAATATTCAATGGCTGTTGAATGGCTTTTATCTTCTTCAGAGAGTAAAAACCAAACAAATTCTGTGTATGACATTCGTTGATTATTTGCTTTGGCCGTTTTTGTCACACAACCGGAGAAAATTCGTTCAATAATTCGTGTGGAGAGAGCTGCAAGAGAGATGAAATTTTGTCATATTCGCCATAATGTTTGACATTTGAAATACCAACCATGATCATTGTGTCGGGCCAAATCATTTTGATCGATAAATAAATCATGATCACGATCTAATTCCCAAAATTTGCAATAGATAACATAAAAATGTTCATAGCTAAAGTATGCCATAATTTGATTAATATCTTCTTCTTCTTCGAGTAATTGTAAAACTTGTAGTAAATCGGAGCGTCGAAGTTCGGCCATTGTTATTCTACCCGACCAACTGCGATTCACCGTATAAAATATTCGTGCAATGACGGTGTGAACGTATCGTGAATGAAATTCGGCGGCTTCTTTGAGGAACGCAAGACCTGGATGGGTATCGACTACATCCTGCACCAGACATACTAAGTCTTCGGGTAAAATGTACGGCCGTGATCTTTGACCACGTGACATTATATAAACGAATCGAGACACTGAATCATTGCAAAACACTGACATTCTGTGACAAAAAAAAAAACGGAAACGAAAACAAAATGATACACATCCATTAGAATTATGAAACACGAACTACAAAATAAAGAAGAATAATTGAATCTATTTACTGTTTCCAAAAGTCGCAAAACCGTTTTCCATCAACGAGTCCGGCTGGTGTTAGTTGTGTGCAATTGAATAATGGCATTCGCCAATAAAATGGTAGCGAACAAATTTTCAGCACACTAACAAAATCATCTTTGGACATGCAATTATTTGGATATGCATCGAATGCAGCCGAAAGCCGTTGCAGTGTTTGTTCCAATGTAATCGATGACAACGGTTTTCCAAACGGAAAATGAAATCTAAAAGGAAGAAGACAAAGGAAAAGGTAAAAAAACGCCAAATTTTATTTCCCCAAAATGAAACAATTGCATTGAATTCAAGAGGTTAATCGTTTCCGCATTTTGAATGCTGGCAACAGTTAGCCACGGGTCGCCGTCGATGTCAAGTATGCGAAGGGTGCTAAAAATGTTTTCGAATCAATACAAAAAGCTCACCTTGGTATGTATACATTTTTTGTATTTCGAATGGTGCGCTGCAGTGTAGTGCAGGTCGTTTGTTGTTCAGGCTTTGGTACTGCTTTTGGCTATGGTGATTCATAGATGAAAAAAATTTGAAAAAAGAAAAAGAAGAATATAATATAGTTGATAGAAAAAAAAGTGGCAAACAGAGCTCATACAACACGAAACCAAAACAAGTGCAATGAATATTTTATAAGTGCTATGACGCTTGACTTTGCAGAACATTTTAGAATGAAGTTTTGCATGCTTCAGTAATAAATTCCACTTGGCCACGTTCAAGTGAAACAATGATTGACTTTGTTGACATTTGCCTTCTCTCTCTCGCTACCTCTTTTTCTTTCGCTCCTATGTGTAAAAGTCCGAAGAAAACCCATTCAATTTAAAAATAGTTTAGCAATTTCATACATTTTTCACTTGGCCGATGCAGATTAAAATCGCTCCATTTCAACATAATCCTAGGTTTTTATTACTTGCAATCATGTCAAACGCGCATCTTTTTCTAATTCGAATAAAAATTTCTCGATCGATATGATTTGAGAAAGAGATCGTCGAATTGTGACTTTGCAAGTGATTCATACGTTTGGATGGTTGTAAGGCGATGCACGAAAGTTTAAATCGATAAACTGAATGTTGAATCCTAATTTAAGTGCCATACATATATCAAGTGGTGGTAAAATTAGAAAAGTTTGCATGAAAATGTCGTTGCATGTCTATCTTGATTATCTCGTTCACTTTTCGAATCGAAACGTACATTTTAAGTGTCGCCTGTAATTATAAATGTGAACATTGAACAATCTTTGGATTTTTGCAATTTAGCGCCAAATTACCCGATTTTATTTACGCGAAATAAGTCACGAGAATTTCAGAAGAATCAATTGAGTATTGAAAGTAGTTAGAAAATCGAAATTGTGAATTTATTTATTCGTATCAAAATGATGCGCATCAAAATTCTCGCATTTTACAATCATCACAAAAATTTCACTATAAAGGCATGTGACTTTGCAAAACTATTTCATGGGGACAAATGCCGAACCCTTGACGATTTTTCTAAAACAACAATAACGAGTGTGCCGCTTGATGGCCTATCATTGACTTGATTTTCACTTTGATAATATAATTTGTAGCGCGTATCGAAATTTAAATTACGAATGACATAAAATTTGCACAGATTTGAATTTAAATTTTCTTTTACGTATAATAATGAGATAGTTACCGGTACTTTGTTTGCATCCTTTGGTGTATTTCGCAGAAGTTTTATTTCCGGACATTTTTCAAACATGAGCACACGTTCGGCGACTGAACCACGCGTTAAAAACGGTCGTACAGCCGGAGCTGTATTGGCTGGTTTTGTGCCCGTTTTATTTGTGTGTAAACTAAGATCAGGATGTGGCACAGCCGCATCATTTTTTGGTCGTAGTTTGCTCATTTTCAAATGAACACCGTCCACGTCGTTTGATTTTTGCGCGTTATTTTCGTTTGAAATTACGGTTTTTGGTGTGTCCACGGTAATTGTCTTTTGAGCACCATTCCAATTGGCTGGATGCTGTTGTGGTTCAGCATTTGCGGTGACAATTTTTGCATTTGTCATTGAATTTGTATTATTTGTTAGTGGTTTTGAATTGCTATTTGATAGTGTCGACGTTATCACTTCGGGTAATTTATCATTATTGAGAACAGTGCCAGTTTTTAATGCGTTTATTAATCTCTCTTCTTCCATTAAAACCTCATCCATTAATTTATTCACTTTGTTGCTTTTAGAATTTTGCTTATTCACCAATTTCGCACTTTTAATGTCATTTTCATAGTTCGTTTTAGTTGCTGATGATGGTGGTGTTGTTGTTGTTTCTGCTGTTGCTGTGGTTGCCGCTTCTGTTATTGATTCGTTTGCTTCTTCAACCTTAGCATTAGTTGTGTCATTGCTGCTACCGTTTTCAATGGGTTTCAGACGATTTTTCAACGACCATGCGGGCTGATGATTGAGCAAATTGGCTGGTTTGGCCGGAGTTTCTGGTTTTTTTCGTGCAACCGTCGAACTATTACTTATTGTTGTTGTCGATGCACTTGAACCAGACACCGAACTATTTTTACTAATATTATTATTATTATTATTGCTACTATTTAATAATGATGATGGTTTTATCAATTTATCCTGTTCAATGGTGTTTATAAGAACGTCGGGCACATTCTTATTCAATTTATTTGTTTCAAAACTGTTGCTCGACTGTTGCAATTGATCTCGTTGCGTTTGATCTAATTGCAATTTTGGTGATTTTTCACGTTGCGCAATCAATGTAGTTGCGGTTGCAGTTGATTGTCGATCGACTGTGTTACTATTGTTTGTCGATCGATTATTTTTTAAATAGTTTGGCCGCATGTTAGTTGTTGCATTGTTGTCAATGTTTTCGAATTTTCTTAATGCATCTTTGATTGTGCCGCTCGTTAGAATATTTGTTTTACGTGTTACAATTGAGGATTGTTGTTGTTGTTGTTGCTGTCGGGCCTTATCCTCATTTACAAATGTGCTGACTAGTTTCTTTAGATTTGAATTCGACATTTTGGCAGATGTGTTCGGCAATGCCGATACCGTATCGATACAATTGCTTGATTTTGATAGTTCGCCGAGTGTTATTTTCGGTTCGTATTGCGGTGATTCACTTCTTCGTATCGTCTGTCGTTGCACGGACGGTGTTAATGTTTTATCAAATGCGTCACTATTCATCGAATGACAATTGAGAATTTCAGGAGCCAAACCGCGTGCCTTCCATGTTTGATAGATGGCTTCAGCGTGGTCCGATATTTGTTTGGCAATGATCTCAATGTCTTGTTCGGCTTGTTCGTTTTCGCTATTGTTACTGCTGCTGTGATAAATTTGATGATGTTGATAAATATGATTTGTGGTTGAATCGGACAGGGATGAGGACCGAAGATGACTGTGATGATGTGTTGTGGTAATATTTAATTGCGAGGTATTTTGCTGAAAATGCGTTTGTGAAACGGTCGCTGAAGAGCTTCGAACCGATGCTGATGCTGATGAATTGGAAGATGTTTGTTTGGCAGTCGTTGCCATGACGCAATCGAACCCGGTCGATTTGTGAAAATTTCTGGTCTGCAGCTTTCACCAAAACCACCGCACGCACACAAACACATCAGACGATTTAACAACAATATTATCCAAAATTACACTTAAATTGTCTTTATTGTTTTCTTTTCAAATGTCGACTTTTGCGTGTGAGTGTATATCAGATTGAGTTCCTTTTTTCTCTCTTTTCTACTATGTTGAATGCACAAATTAATCTTATTCACTGTCAATTGATTTGCTTTTATTGTTTGGTCTTTAACGGAAATCACCGCTTTTTCTCTTCTTTTCTTTTTTGTATCAAAGCACTTTACGTTTTAAACTGTTTTGTTCGAGTTCACGATGCACGTACAAAGAAAATCCGATTTCTTGGTATTTCAATAATGTACTTGAATGCAAAAATGCATGTGTGTGTGTTCTTTTTTTTTTTTTTTTTGGTTTGCTTGACGTTTTTTTTTATTTTTAACAACAAGCTACGGCTTTGACAACTAGAAGGATACACCGAATGAATTCGCGAACATTTAATTTGGCCAAATGAATTTTATATTAACGACTGGCACACACGCATATATGTGTACCTATTTGAATCGTTGTCTTGTGTCGCTTTGAGCTGTTGTCGTTGTCTTGTGTCGACTACGTTTAAATTATATTAAATGCACTTTACAAACACTCTCAGAGGTTATTAACACTTGCTCACACTCAGTTTTAATTATAATGTTTTTTTCGCCTGAATTTTATTTTACGTTTTTTTCATCAGCAACGACACAAAATTGGTGTGGATCTTGCACTTTAATGTTTTAATGATCGAATGATTCTTTTTATTATGGATTAACTTCAACTTCTGGTTAGCTTGAATTTGCCAAAACGAAAAACATGTTTAGCTATATTTTTGCTTGGCTAGAGTGTAGATTGCAGAAAGGACAATTTTGAAATCACTATTTATAAACGATCAGATAAATATTCACTATGTGATATTAGCCAAAATCCAATTTTTTTATTGCGTGTACAATATCGTTTCAACTAAAAATATCGCCTTTAATTTTCAATGCGGAAACACTTCTTCTTCTTCTTCTTTAATTTTCCGTCGAACTAATTATGAGGATGCGCGACGAAGTTCGGTTACTTTTTTTGTTGTTGCAAGTGTTCGTCTTTGCTACACAAAGTCAATTATTGTGTGAGGTATTATGCAAAAAATTTGTATGGCTTTTCTGAATTTCTTTTTACGTTGACCTTTTTCTCGTCTTTTTCCGAAAAGAATAAATTTGTTCAATTGCTATGTGTTCAAATTGTTTTCGGCTCCGATATATATCACACTCGGTGTCGCATTCGTAGACCGCACCAGCAGCGCACACAATATACATGTACTCGTGGCAATTTATTTTGGTTCACTGATGAAAACCATTTAACAGAAAAAAAATACACCGACAACGGACGGTTGTGTGAAATATTTCTTTTAAAACACCAAAAGACACACGATTTTCAATACGATTTCTCCTCGAGTCCACTGTGCATTTATATTTTTTTCACAGAGAACACACTATCTCGCATGCACACACACAAAGTTGAATTTTCAACAGCACAACAAAAACAAAAATATTCAGAGAACTATTCGAGTGCGCTTCGGATACGTGATGCCATGTGCAATTGCTTATTTTTATACCAAAATTCACGAAACTTGTGCTCCAAAAAGGAAAGCCACAAACTGTAGAATCTGCGAAGCGCCGCACGAATCTATGCGCACACAAATTTAAATCGACGGTCGACGAATTCTTTTTTTTTTCGTATATCAGCCGCTGTACATACAACCCGGAATGTTTGTTGCCTCTTTTTTCTCCCCACGACTCGTTTCGTTTCGATTTTATGCAGTTTGACCTCACTCTGTTTTTATTTTATCATTTCCCAATGGATATTCGAAGCACTTTTTTTGTCGCCGTTTATCGGAACGAGACTCGAATGAAAATGTACATTGGCAAAATCAATCACTTTCACAAACACTGACCAATTTTCTATTCGAAACGATCTGCAATAAAATAGGAAGAAAAAACATTAAAATCATTAAATTTATCGCAAAAATAATCGCAAATAGTGAAATAAAAAATAGGTTTTCGGGGATTGGAATGTTGAAAACTACAAATACAGTTGCTCTATCAAAAATACGCGCTTATATTGGTTGCTTGAGCGTATTTAAAATGAACGAAATCAATGTTTATGTTTGCAATTGATGGTGTGAAAATGTTTGGTTAGTGAATTTTTCAGTGATAAATTGTCTCTGTCCGAAGTATTTTAGTATTCGATTGAAATTTAATACAGCAACGGAAGGGCATCACATGGTTCGATAAGACGACATGGCACAATCAATGCCGTATCGGTTGTCAAGATCGACAAAACAATCGAATCGATAAAAGAAATAGGTGGGAATACATGTAATAAAATAAAATTGCCGATAAATAAATCCTCACGCTGCTTCTTCTTAAAATGACCCTCTGTGTGCGTTTTAATTCGCATATGCGAGTATAACACGAAGCAGCGATTGAGTTGAGCTGAGCTGTGGGCACGAAACCAATTATAACAATCCAAATGAGTTAAAGCGCTACACACAATGCTTGAAAATAGAAGCAAAGTAGTGGAAAAAACACATCAAAAATGTGTGACCAATTGCAATAACGTTGAACATATGTTCGTTTTTTTTCTCTGGTCGTGTGTGTGACATGCGGAGAGTTAAACAATCTCACACGAATAAATCTTGAAGATAACAAACAAGATGAAAAAGCACAAAAATTAAAGGGAAAAATAAATAATTGACTGTGAGAAAGATAGATAATGAGTTTTGCTATGCATAACAGCAGTACCAACAGATAAAGAGCATCAAAAAGTTTTTTTCTTCGTCTTCGTTAAGTTTTGGAGTTTATGACACTGTCTTTCCATTGCTAAATCGTTCTGAGCACAACAAAATGATCATGTTCATTACGATTTAGCCCAAAAATCCTACACACAATCGTCAGAATAAAAAAAAACTTATATTCAGGCTTCGTTCATTAACATTTGGTGTCTATTTCAATTCAATAAAACATATATATTCGTTAAATTTCATTCGATCGTTTGGTGACTTTATCTACCGTGTCTTTGGTTGTTGTCATTTTGATTCTCTCTTTTGTGTGTCGCGCGTATTGCCATATGCAGTAAACACACGGTTTGCGAACGAGACATCCCACGCTTCATATACAACCAAATTCGATAATTTAAGTAGTGAGCTGCTGTTGCAGGCAAACGAACGAACGACCGTAATGATGTGTGTGCGCGCGCGCGCTCATTCGTTCGCTCGCGACATATATAAAATTCGGTTTCTTTATTTTATTTGTGTGCATTTGGTTTTAGTTTTATTTCGAGGGAGCGAGAGAAAGACAGTCACATTTATTATGGAAATGACATAAAACATCATTTCAAAAATAGTAATGCCGAATGGGTGCCTTCAATAATAATAGTAATAATTGGCGACCGCCGTGTAGAAAAACTTACCAAAAAATTTCATGAAAAATGACAGGAAAACACGATAAAAATTTCATTAGCAGCCATAATACTAATAATAGTGAATTCAAAAAAAAAAAACCATTCGTCATTAATTAAGATCCGCTGCGAAGCGATTGAGCTATGTATACAGCCGGCTTCTTGTCGCGCTGATGGAATCTCAACTCTGTGTGTATGCTCGTAATTTGTATTCGACATTTAGGAGTTTTATTTATATCCAATGGAGATCATATGTATGAAATTGCGCATTGATATCAATGCAAGCTCTCAGACACACCATCGAGAAGGTTCGTTCACTGAACACAAAAACAACATCAATTTTATTTCAGCAGAAGCCAGTTCTCACACATTTTCGATCGCATCAATGGATCGCTCTATATATTGGCAATTTCACTTTATAATCATTGCAAATGAACCATTTTTTTTTCGTTCATCATCGAGTAGAAAACGAAAGCCATGACCATTTACAGGTTTGATTGTGATCAACGACATTTTTCGGTGTATGAGAAACGTTACAATCATAACATTACACTCAACACATCAAAGACAACAACAACAAAAAAAAAACCAGCACATACATAAATAAATCGCAGCAAGTAATAATGAAACGACCGCGAATGAACGTGACTTAAATAAGGTGACGAGATGGGAGAAAGTTGAATAAAATTCGCTTAACCACGTACTATGCCAGCGGCCTATTGGAGCAAACGAGCAAAAGTTGAAATTGAAACAAGTACACACACACACACATGGTGATCGTGCTGAAAGGAGAGAAGTACAATTGCAATTTGCTTCTTTTGAGTGCAAGCCTTAGCTAAAAGTTGAAATAACAAAACTTCACTTCTTAAACTGGCACGCGATTCAACAGTAAGATTAAACAACCACAACAACAACAACGACGGCAATAACAAAAAAAAAACACACAACAAAATAAATATTGTGTTTACTATTCGAATATCTCAAAGAGATGAAGCAACAAAACACCGCGAACGAGTTTTAGTATGTATCGTGTATCACATCCACCTGATGATCTGATGCGAATTCAATACAGTATAAAAAAATTATCGTCGAAATATTGAATTTCAGGCGCAATGGAATGTCTTTGTCCATCGCTAACAAACATATTTGTAATTGCGCACCTATAATGCGCGCGGTTTCGCTTATAATTATTATTATTAATTCAGCATTCGTTTTATAACTCGCATCCATTTACAACAATTTGGCACTACGCAAATAAACAAAAAGGTACACAAACACAAAAATCGTGTCCGTTCCAATCGGAAATGATTTACGAGTTATAAAGCAGAATGAGCTAATGATCATTGAGGGAAACCGCACGAAAGAATACAAACCGAACAAACAAAAAACAAATGTTACGATCGTAATGAGAGAACAAGAGAAACCAGAAAATCACAGACTCAGGAACACCGTTGTGTCAACAGTTTTGTTCAACAAACTTATGCAAACTAAAATCACATTCAGAAGCAAACAAATATCCAAGTGTCTGGTGAGACCGATGAATATGAAAGCATTCAAATTCCATCGTATATTTGATTTGACGTTTTACTTTTTGCATATGATTCGAGTCGACTCGCTTTATAGCTTCAATACAATTGGAATACATTAGCGCAAGTTGTTTGTGCGCGCAAATGAAATAGAAGACAACAACAACATCAATAGACAACATTACAGGGCAGCGGGAGATAATGTTGCTGTTTTTTTTTCGCAAAAGAAACCTATACACATCGTATAATTGATTCAAATGATGTAAAAATTGAGCAAAAACAACAAACACTATTGCGTGAAATCGAACAAGAAAAACAGAGAGAAAAATTAAATACACCACAGAACAGACAGAGTGATGAACATATATTCAAAATACATAATGATTGTTATGCATTTTCGTTTTGTTAATAATAAAAATTGAATCGTCGTTTTATATTCGCATAATTTTAAATTCATCGTTGAATGTTCGTTATTGTAACATATTTGTACATGCGGCGAACTTTTCGTCAACTGTGAGAAAAGCCAAAAGTAGCATGGCATTTTTCTGTTTGCAACTGTTTAGTTAATTTGTTTATTTTGCCTGCTCACACTTTGTGCACAGATCAACCTCTCTCTCTCTCTGTCTTTTTCTGTGGCCGAGTATTAAATAAGATAGAGCTGTTTGGCATCGAGTGCAGTGCTTACGAAAAACCATGTGAAACGCACGAACAATTTAATTTATTTAAGCAATTACTTTCGTAGTCGTTTTTTTACTTCTTTTTCTTCGCTTGTTCTGTCTTTATGTATCTGTCTCTGATCGGGTGCACAATATCGACATTCGGTGTGCAAAGAAGAAATTGCATACATATATACAGCAAAGCAACAACATAGTGCAATAAATCTTACTGGGCGTGAAGATTTGTAATATGAGCACTGCGAACATCATGTCTATTACGCAAACGAAATGTAAATTACATATACACACACACAAACAAAAAAAAAATTTCGCTTTGTTTGCCGATCAGCCAATTCGAATTGCAAAATAGGCAATCCTTAGACAGAAAACAACAACTCCATTATTATAATAAACTAATTCGCAGTGATTTTTCTAGTTCAAAAATCTAAATCTATCCGTACCACGCAAATGAAATCATTCACTTTCAATCCGCCGACCAAAATCATCTCTCTTGCGCTCTCGAAGAGATATGAGCACGCGCGCGCGCTCACGCACATTACCATACATGTAGCACAATCGCTTTCTCGCGTGTATGTGCTCTATCTTTTGCTAAGATTAGCTTTTTGCACTTGCCACACATAAAATACGATTGATTGAGCACTAAGTGATTTGATTGCTGTAGTATTTCGAATAATTTTTTTTTCTCTTTCTCTATCTCTTTTCCATCCGTTTCGTTCTCGTTCATCGTAAATTTTGAACGCATTCATAAATCATATTGGAAAATGTATAATTTGATTGCAAATAGAGTGTTTTCTTTTTTTTAATGGGATTTTTGTTTTTCTCCATTTCCAAGGAATTGCGAACGTGCTTGAAATCAATGCTAAAGCCATTTTTTTTAATGAATCTTCGACAGCTGTTCAATACACCAGAGTAGAATGTCAATGAAATCTGATTTGAATAGAAATATTTGATGAATAAGGCGTGTCTCGCAATTTTTAAATCAACAAAACGTCAGACTCGTTCAATTTTTGATCGATTCAATTGTATTTATCTGTTCTGTGTGTATTGTCTTTCTTTTTTGATGTCTTTAGAACGTCGATATATCAACATATATAGAATGATCATACAAAATAAAAATCAACAGATTAAACTAAATATGACAAACAAAAAACGGTGAAATTCGTTGAATAATTCAGTGCGTTTTATGATGATTGCACGATCGAAGAATACTCTATGATCTCAAAAATCGACAAAAACACTGGAAACGAATAAGAAATTCGACGATTTGTCTTGACCGTATGCTTTTTGTGTGCAAATTCGGTCGGAGTTTTGTT